TTAAGTCGTCCCCAAACAAACCTCAATAATTGTGTTGTTTCAGCTCATTTGAAATAATCAGATTCAGAACAAGCAGCAAACATCATTTGTTGAGTGTAATAAATGTTCAAGAAAGCCGTTGTATGTAAATGTGTATTTAAAACAAAGTGTTTTTAACATTTGCTTTTTGTAAAGCAGATTTATCTGATATTGACAAAAAAAAAATTCCAGTACTTAAAAAATCTCTCTTACTAATCTATTTCTTTTTTTCTGTATGACAGATTCTACACTGTTAAAATGCTGGTGTCCACACAATTGATTTGTGTTGAGACAACATAAAGGAATTTAGTTAACTTATTAGTTTTTACAATTTTAAGTTGATTAAACATAAAACAATTAGGTTATTTTAAAAAGCTCAGGAATTGTAAGTACTTTTAATAAAAATAAATCTTTTTCACTGGACACATAAAAAAATGCTGGGTTCCACACAATTCCTTCATGTTATCCCAACCCGACACAAATTAAGTTAACTCAATTGTTTTTACAAATGTAAATGAACTGAACATAAATAAAGTTGTCGTTCCAAAAAAAAAAAAAAAAAAACCCATAAGAATTGTGTTTATTCAACTAATTTAAAATATGTAGTTTGAACAAGCAGCAACATCATTTGTTGAGTTTATTACATGTTCAAAATCTCTGTAAATGTTCAGATATGGAGAGCTGTATACGTGTGAAGAGCGAAGTGTTTTTAACATAAAAACTTAACATTAAACAATTAAGTTATTTTAAAAAGCTCAGCGATTGTGTTGTTTTAGCTCATTTTGAATAAGTACTTTGAATAAACATCGCAAACGTCATTTTTTTGAGTAAAAAAACTGCTGGGCTTTACTCAGTTGATTTATATTATCCCAACACAAATTCATTAAGTTAATTTAATTTATGTTTGAACATTTACATGCATTAAATGATTCATTGGATTTATATTGGATATTATAAACTCTTTTAATTTAGTGATGTTTATTAGTTTAAGTTCAGCCCATATAAATTGTTTGCAACCATTTACCCCAAAATGTTTTTGTAAAATACATGGAATAATTTTTTTTTTCTAGTGTGTAATAAATGCCAAAAAGGATGCCTGATGTCTGTAAATGTTCAGATGTGGAGATCTGTACATGTGTGCAAAGCGATTTAACATAAAATGATTAAACATTAAACAATTAAGTTGTTGTTAATAATTAGGCTCAGGAATTGTGTTGTTTCAGCTCATTTTAAATGAGTAGTTTGAACAAACAGCAAATGTAAATTTTTCAGTGTAGACTGTAAAGAAATACTGGGTTTCACACAACACCTTCATATTATCCCAACACAAATTCATTAAGCTAACCTAGTTGTTTTTACAAATGTAAGTGGATTAAACATAAAAGAAATTGATTTCAACTCTTCAAGAATTGTTGTTTCAGCCCATTTAAAAAAATAGTTTGAACAAACAGCAAATATCATTTGTTGAGTGCACAAAAAAAAATTCATTGGATTCATTTTTGTTTGAGGTAAGAAATTGCAAACAATTTAAATGGGCTGAATATAAACAAACACATTCAATTTAGTAATGCTCATCTTAATTTATTTATTTAAATTCAGCCCATATAAATTGTTTACAACCACTTACCTTAAAGAAATTTAATAAATACATGGAATCATTTGTTTTCAGTGTGTAATACATGTTCAAGAAGGCCTGAAGTCTATAAATGTGCAGATGTGGAGATCAGTACATGTGTGTGTTTAAAATAAAGTGTTTTCAAGAAAAACAGGTAATTTTAAAAAGCTCAGTAATTATGGTGTTTCAGCTCATTTTTAAACAAGTAGTTTGAACAAACCGCAAACGTCCTTTTCTGAGTGTAAAAAATGGGTTTCACACAATTCATTCATATTATCCCAACACAAATTGATTTAGTTAACTTAATTTACGTTTAATCTACTTAAATCATTTTAAAACAAAATGTCCTCCCAAAAAAACTCTAAGAATTGTTCATTTTAAATAAGTAGTTTGAACAAACAGCAAATGTCATTTGTTGAGTGCACTGAAAGAAATGATTCATTGTTAATTAATTTAAGGTAAGAGGTTGCAAACAGTTTATTTGGGCTGAATATAAACAAACACATTTAATTCAGTATGTT